AAATTGGCAGTTACTGAATTCATTTGAATCTTAAATTTTAAATGTATTTCATTCCTGAAAAATGAAAATAATAAAGATGGAATTATTTTATGATACTCTTACTTTACAAGTTTGTGTCAGATATTAATAGAAATATATTACTAGAAATTAATTTCTATAGTACACTATCTGGATATAAATAACGATGTAGGTTCTGTAGAGAATTATAAAGGAAGAAGTGACTGTGAACAAATAAGATAAATAGCAAGCAAAAACAATATATGCATATAACCTATAATTTTTCCATCCTTTCTTCCATGTACTTCCTAGGTTTTTTGTATTGTTTTGGTTTTGATGTAGATTTAGGTTTAGGTGTTTTGCTTAGAAGGAAGAAAAGAAATAGTCAAAAAGAAGTTTTAAAGATCTCTTTGAGAGCTAAGCTTCCTTTTCTATACTATTTATCTAATATTATTGATCATTTGCTATATGCCAGATACCTGATCTTTTACAACTTTGTAAAATTTCTATTTTTATTGCCCTTTTATAGAGGAGGAAATGAAGGTTAAAAAAAATCAAATAGTTTCTCTGTAAGTGGCACAGTTGGCGTTCAAACCCATGTCTGTCTACTGTAGAGCTTGAACTCTTAACCACTAACAGGGAACCACATAAGTACTTCATTGTATGGGTCTTTATTTTTGGAACCAATTTCTTTAAAACTAGAACAAGATAATACCTTTTGTATAGTTCATCTTCTAAGATATGGCAGTGATTCTATCATAATGAACCTTTCTTTGTAACTTTATTTTCAGTGGTATTTTATTTTTATTGAACAGTGTTTCCCATTTTGATTTCAGAAATGTGTAAGTAGAAGAGAACTTTTATCTAAACTTAAAATCCACATTTAGGATCCTAACTTTTACTAAAACATTAAACTTCCATCATTCAATTTTGGTCTATATATCTGCTTATACTATGTCCATTATATCAGTACCTCTCTTTGATTTACTCTTTCGAACTAAGGTATTTATGTAGTTGTACTTCCTGCATTGATGTTCTAGTTTAAATACAACTAATGTTGATAAGTAATCTATTAATAGGTAGAAAATTACTAAAGAAATAAGTAAGTTCTTTGAAGTGTTTTTACTTATTCTGTATCTGCTACCTGGAATAGTCATAGAAATTTACAACTAATAGGGACCTTAAGTTCATCTGGTCTTCTCTATTGCTTGATAAACAAGAAATACTTTGAGGGGGAGCCAGTACTGGGGTTTGAACTCAGGGCCTTCCATTTGCTAGGCAGGAGCTCTGTCTACCATTTTGAGCCATTCCATCAACTCAAACATGAAATCTTAAGTGTGAGTTTCACTTCTCCTTTTGTGTGCCAATCCATTGACATGTCTTTTAAAACCTGGGTCAAAACTTGTATCACAGGCTAGGAGTGCTCTAATGGTTGAGCACCTGCCTAGCAAGCTCAAGGCCCTGAGTTCAAACCCCACCCCAGAACTGCAAAAAAAAAAAAAAGTATACAGGAAAACTTACATCACTAAGGAATCTTGACCTTGTTAACAGTATTGTTTGCTCACTTACATTTTATAACCAATTAATACAAAAGTATTTTGACAAAGAATATTTTAGGAAAATTAATTTGTACAGTGTGTGTGTGTGTGTGTGTGTGTGTGTATGTGTATGGAGAGAGAGAAAATGTTAACACATAATTTGATTTTGAGTTGGTTTTCTCTTTCACATTCACATATACAAACAATAATTATAACATTATCTCCAAAAATAGCCCTGGCAGTTTCAAAAGTTCTTTAAACTAATTTTAAAATCTTTATATAAATGTTGAAATAAGGGGAGGGGGCATGGCATGGCATTGGCTTAAGAGGTTGAGCACTTGCATGTGTAAGGCCTTAGGTTCACTCCCTAGTACCACAAAAATAATTAAATTTTGAAATAAAGTGTAGTCTTCAAAGTTAAACATTTTCATTGTATTGCTAAAAGACCGTGGAATTTGTTTGGTTTTTTTCCTTCATTCATCATGTAGTCTAGGTTAGAAATCCATGTAACATGAAAGAAAACCAGATCATTCTGGGCATAGTGGTGCACATCTGTAATCCAGATTCAGAAGGCTGAGGCAGGGGAATCACAAGTTTGAGGACAGCCTGGGCTCAACAAGCAAACAAACAAGCAAAAAAAGAAAATCAGCTAAGCAGGGCCAGGTTTTTTGGGTTTGGCAGTATTAATAATTACTAATGCTAAAGTTTTACTTATTCTTGATGGGGATTTTTAAAAAAATTTTATCTGGCAATTTCCTATGTTAGACGATATTACATAGGATTTAAGAAATTATATTCACTTTGCCTTATTGGTCTAAATTACCTAATAAAAGGGGGTTTTTCCCCCTAATTTGGTGTATCATTTTTCTGAGATTAGGCCCTTCTTCTTACCTTTTCTTTCATGAAATTACATATGCTGTATGTAATCTTCTCAAACCCCAACTCCCATATTAATATCAATTGCTTAGCAGTATGTGCCTGCTTCACTTGATGGAAATAAACAGTCATGACTTATAAGAACCATTTTGTAATCATTCTGTGATGGAACTTTGAATAGAATAATACTCATTTGGTGGTTTGGACAAACGGAGTTTTATTTTTAATTTGTGTAAGATGTATAGTGACTTCTTAGACACATATGCAAAAAAAGTTTAAAAAGAAGAATTTATGAGTACCTTCTGAGCTTTATGTTCAGAGTGAGCTTATCCAGCTGAGAACCTACAGATACTCAAACTGCATTATTTGCTCCTACTAATCTAAAAATAGGAGGTTAGTCACACTCTGTTTCAGCAGTCAGTAGAACTTGTGAAATAGCAAAATAAAACCAAAGGACTGAAACCATCTGAAGTCATAATGCCTGAAAATTTTAGTCAGTGTAATAATAAAAGAAGTTGTAACATTAGAAAGAAATAAAGTTGTTTTCCCAGATACAATTGTATAAAAATACTACAGTATTTCAATGTGAAGTCAGCATAGTGACTGGGAGTATTTCAAAATGTAATTACAAAAATCAGCACTAGTCAATACTATCAGTGACCAAATTAAAAATTTGCTAAAAGATCCTTAATAGCAAAAAATTAAAATATCTTAGAAATGCAACTAATAATAATATGCAAGACTCCCATGAAGGTAATCATAAACTTTATAGAAGATCTAAATAAATTGAAAGACATCTGTGTTCATTGACTGGAAAACTTAAGAAGGCACACTCCTCAAATTCATCTACATGTTCAATGCATGGCCTCAAAATTCCAATTGCCATTTTTTGCAGAGAAGGACAAATTCAACTTAAAACTCATTTGGAATTACAAAGGATCCACCCTCCCCCCAAAACAGGCAAAACAGTCTTGACATCAAAAACAAACACTTCCCTATTTCAAACTTCACTATAAAGCAACAGTGATCAAACAGTGTGGCAGTGGCATTAAATAGACATGTAGGCCAGTGGAATACAATTCAGAGTCCAGATACATCTGTGGTCAATTAAGTTTCTACAGGGTGTCAAAAAGACACTCCATTTAACCAGTGGTGCTAGAACAACTAGATGCAAAAGATTAATTTGGTGGCCAGGCATGGCGGCACATGCTTATAATCCTAGCTACTTGGAAGGTAGAGATCAGGAGGTTGGACGTTAAAGGTCAGCACAGGCAAATGTTGGGGAGACCCCCATCTCAACAAATAAACTGGGCATGGTGGTTCACATCTGTAACCCCAGTTACACAGGAGGAATAAGTAGGATGATCATGGTCTGAGGCTGGCCCCTGGAAAAAATGAGAGATCCTATCTGAAAAACAAAAAAGGACTAAAGCAAAAAAGGACTAGAGGTGTGGCTCAAGTGGTAGGGTGCATGCCTACCAAGCACAAGACCCTAAGTTCAAAAACCCAGTACTGCCCCCACAAAAAGAATGAATTTGGTCCTCAACACAACATACAAGTGTTAGCTCAAAATGAACTCAAGATATAAACGTAAGTACTAAAACTAAAGTTCAGAAGGAAATGCAGGCATAAATCTTTATGACCTTGAGTGAAGCAATGGATTCTTAGATATGACACCAAAAACAGAAGAAATTAAAGAAAAAAATTGATAAGTTAGACTCCACAGGATTAAAAACTTGAGTTTCAAAGAACACAACTAAGAAAGAAAAACAACCCAAAAAATTTTGCACACAATCTGTCTGATAAGGGAGGTAGAGCTCCCAGAGCAGGGAGGAGTCCCAAGAGAGGGTGCCCTTGCTTAGCCTTCTGATACCTATTGGATAAAACCCCCTTTTTTGTATGTCTCATTTTTACTAAGAAAAGCAAAAATGTATTATTGCAAATAATGTAAACACATGTATGTAAATGAAAAATGATGCCTGTTGAAACTGTTCTAGGAATCGGGGAAGGGTGTGGGGAAGAGAAATGGAGGGGGAAGGCAAGTATGATATAGTTAATACATTGTAAGAACCTTTATAAATGCTACAGTGTACCCACACCCAGGACACCAATAAAAATAAAAGACATGAAATTAAGTGAATTCGTTATAAAGGAACGTGTCAGGAAAAATCTCATGTAAATTTCTTAAGCTAGTTGGAACTTACAGTAACCAGAAATAGATGTCTTTGCTGATACTTAGAAACTTATTGAAAAACACTTATTATGTAATCTGTTAGGTTGAGAACTGAAATGTTCCTAAAGATTTAATCTGAACCATTCCCATAGATGTGTTCTTCATATGACTCCCAAATGATGCAAATGATGAAACAGTAAAAAGGTATAGGGATCAAATTCAGTGTTTTGCTGTAAGTACTAATTCTGCAGGTGTCCAACAGTCTTTTTAACTTGTGAATTACTGTGTATGCATTTGGTAAGCTTATTCTCAGTCTTTAGCATTTTCAGTGAAAACTGTTGATGTATTTTTTGTTTTGGTTTTTATACCAAACTACATGTTCCTTTTTTTGATTTGTGTCTTTCCTTTTTTTCTAGGAAACTCACTGGACATTCTTTCCACATGGGGTACAGCATGGCGATTTTGAATGGCATTGTAGCTGCTCTTACTGTGGCATGGTGCCTCCTGTAAACCCACACTGGAATAATACTTTTGGCAAAAGTCATGATTGTTTTGTAATAACAGAAAAGAACATCATTACCTACTCAGAAGACTTAGGAAACTATTATGTGGCTCAAATACATGTCATCATCGTCATCATTGTGGAGGACCTTTCAAAGCATTATTCTAGAGTCTAGGCATTAGGGAATAGTTGAGTGTGAAGTTTCGAGTACTTTCTTAGAAGTATAAGATGTTTACCTCATCTTTTTATTTTGGTGTGGTAGTTCTTACCAGTTTTAGAGAACATTTTAATGGAGATCAAACTTGGAAAACTGACTATAGGCCAAGGACTACCTTACCATATATATACAACATTTTTGCTAAGAAATACTGATATTACTGTTTAATTAAGACAGTAATATTATTTATTTATACATAACATTTGGAGAACAAGTAATGCCTATTACAATATTTTATAGAAGCTTCTTTTAAGTCAGGATAGGTTTTGATATTCATAGAAGGTGAATTTATACTTCTTATGGGGAATAATTCCTTATATATTTTACATATTTTCCTACTACATATCTAGACAACTGTAAATGTTATTTCATAGCTGGTGCAAGCTCGTCATTTTTACTAAGTATTTTGACTATTAACAAAAGCAGAAAAACACATTGACCTAAGTTTTAAATTAAAATTATTTTAACAAAAAAAGTCTGAAAAAGGTAAATTAAGTCATAAAAACAGAAATTTGAGGCTGTTGATTATTTCTATTTTCCATAAATTTAAATATCTTGATGTACGTATGATTACTTCAACAGAACTATATTGCTTTGTTTTTAATAAATGAAAACTGAAATTTTTGTATGCAGAAATGCTTGAACTACTTTATTTTTAATCTAAAAAATACAATTTCCAAAGTATATTTTAATACTCTGTACATATATATGTATATAATAAAACTATGTTGTATGTAACACTATACCATACAGTTTTATAATTTTTCCAGTTTAGGTGTTACTTTTTAATTGTGATGTGAAGAGTTTTTGTTGTTCTTGTTTTCATAGTAATTAAACCTTAATTGTTCCCCTTTCTTACTAAATACCTTAAATGTGTAGAAAGTCACCTCAGTTTTAGAAAGACCAATGATTTACACAGCTGTTTTCCCTGGCCAAATAAAAACTTAACATTAGGAGATTCTTGTATAATCAAACTGCTAATTCAGACTAAGTGGAAAATGACATGTGTAGTACATTACTCTGCTGAATGTTGTTACTAAGTAAACAAGGGTTCTAAAAATCTGACTTTTTAAGACTGTTACAAAAAAGATCATTTCCATTTAGTTGGAAAGACTAATTATTGCTCTACTTTAAATGATCTGAAATGTTTATACTAATGTGGGTGTGTATGTGTATATATCAATCCTGTGACTTAAGTATTTATACCAGTGTGGTGGTCGCAATCAATCTTTTTTCACTTGCTGCCTTCCTCCTTGCCTCCTCCTTCTCCTCTTTCTACTCCTCCTTCTACTCTTCTAAAGGGCTTTTCCGTTGCAAAGAAATGTACATGTAACAAAATCCAGTTTATCTTCTGTCTACACCTCTGAAGTGTTTTTTCCCCAATTTACATAGCTCCATCCAGATTCTTTGTGTCTAATGACTAAAAAAGTTAGTACAGTAGAAAATGTGTGTATGTGTACACACAAGCTATCTTTAATTTATATATGTATAGAGATACAGGCCTATGATATTTCTCTGGAATCTTATTTCTTGACTAGGACTCCCCTTTGGGAAATTGCCGTTCTCTCCAGGTTAAGGTAAGGTCCAAGTATAAATCATCTATAAGCAAAGTAATTGACTAAAGATACATCTATTACCCAAGGTGAGCTAATTTTAGTTTCTTCCTTCATTTCTCCTTGCCAGTGATTGCAACAGAAATATAGAGACATGATTCAAGTAAACCAATCCCTTACCAGGATTTTTCAACTTGAAATTAAAATGATGAAGCTGGAAAGATACAAATCCAGGAAGTGCTGGCAGCGTGGTTCAGCCAAACTCAAAAGAATAAGGCTGATATGGATACTGCTAGACACATTCCTCTGATCTGTGAAACCCAGTGGCAATCCTGGTATTCTTGAAATTTGATTACAGTATTCCAATACATTTCTCTTGGCTTTTACTGTTGACGGTGGCTTTTGTGATTTTTAACAAGGAGAGTCAAGGAGAGCTTACTTAGCAGTTGGAATCCATCTTCGTTACAAAACTGACTCAGATCCCATCTTTTATGTATACCTTGCGCATCACGTTCAGTTATTTGTGAAGAATACGTGACTTACAGGTACCTGGGGCTAGTGATTAATCTCAATTATATATGTGTGGGTGTATAAGGTGTTCTCAAATTCAGTTATAACTTGTTACCAAAAATTTATTGTAGATACAAACATCTGATGTATAACACAGTTATACACTGAGTGTACATGATCACTTAGCATGTTTCCTTATCTGTTAAATGGAAAGAATAATACTTAACAAAATACTTCCAACTACAATGAAAACACTGCATGCTAGTTTGTAGAACCTGGTAAAACACTAAGGGTAATTGATAAAAGTACATGTAGCAGGAAAGAGGGTTGAAAACTAAGGAGCCAAGATGCAAATCAAGCATTAAAAAAAATCAATAGAATAATACCCGCCACATGCACAAATGAGAAGTTAGATAGAAAGATAAGTATACAATTAATGGAAAACAATACCAAAAAAAAAAGCAGTATCCAGTACCAAAAGTGGTTCTTTAGAAAAATAAGGTAGACTTCTGATAGATATAAAAAGGACTTTCTGTTTATTTTTCCATTTCTACTCATTTTCTTGATTATGTCAATTAGGTTCCTGTATTGCATGCAGGAGAAATCACCTGATTAAGGAAAAGGGAGTTTATTTAAATCATATTCAGTGGCTCATAACAGGTGCGTAGGACACAAGAAAGTGTCACAAGGTCAAGAAGAATAAAGCATAGTTGTAATCAAGCACAATAGTTTTGCTCCTTGATGGGTGCAAACTCAAATAACAGCATGCAGTAGGTAAAAGAACGAAAAGGGGTTTATTATTTGCAGCAAGTCAGAAGAACACGGGATAACTCCCAAAGCAGTGTCTCCCTAAACAAAGGATGCACGGGACTTTTTTTTTATTCTTTGAACCTATGTCCCCAATGTAGATTGTTACAATTTCTTCAAAAAACAATGTCCTATTAAATGTCCTAAATTAAGCCACTAAGTTTTCTTATTCATTGGAAGAAATTCATCAAAAGGTCATCAAATATGTTTACAATAACAAATAGTATTCCCAGTATACGGGAAAAAATTAGACCTTTTTTCCATTTCAAAACTTGAAGAAAAAAGTTCCTTAGGAAGGTAGACAGTAAAAAAAATTAAAACCTTACCAATTTGCTAAAAAAGAAAATAGATCATGGTACCACCCTTTTTCCCTTGATACTCCTATCTGCCCCACTTTGCCATCCTTGTTATGCATTTTATCCTTTCTTCTGGTCAAGGGATTTTTACTAGAGAAATATACTCATATGCAGAGGGACAGCAGCGCTTCCAGTGTGGAGAATTTGTTGTAATGAGCAAAATTTAGGTCACCTGGAAGAGAGGCTGAGCGGCTTTGGCTGGTTTAGCCCTTTTCCTGTGGTTTTCTCCGGAAAGCCTTTTCTGAAACAGGTAGCAGTCAACAGATTTTTCTTTCACAAGCTTAATTCTATGAAGTCCTGCCTACCAGCTAACAAAAGGACTATGGACTGTGGGACTAGCCTGGTCAGGAAGATGTAAATAAATGTGCCATTTGTTCTTATCCTTGTAAAATAGGCTCAAGGTTCAAAGTCCTTGGAAAGACTGCCAATTAACCAAGGTTAAGCAGTATGGTAAATTCTGTAATTGAAAGCATCTGTAATTTTTTTTGGAATGATTGGATATTAACTAAAATGGATAAAGTACTTCATTTTACTCCTTGTTGGTCATACCTTCCTTTCATACTAAAACCTGCAATAGTACTCGTGTAAATAATGCAGCCATTGTATCTACTACATCAGATGCCAAGGCCAGGACCTTCGGATTATGTCTATTCTAGTTTTGCAAAGTTGGCTTATTGATAAAAATTACATTAATTATTTTTAATAATTAGAGATGAGAAATTTAAAATACATGTTATATGTGATAGTAAGAAAATACAGATAGAAGTTATTCTCTTGTTTAGGCACTTGGTATTGAGACCTTCCCTCTTGTATATTTGTTCTTTGTTTTGTCTATCACCTTAGCTCATTAGGTTTTTTACTTGATACACTTCCCAAAGCTATTTCTGACATGTTTAAGCTCTTGTTGTTTTATCTTTTGCCATTGTATATGGTAGTATATGAACATTCCTTCAATTGTCACCAGTTTACCCCCAATATTCCTCCTTGCTCTCATTGTGTAGCAAGAACTATTATAAGGTCAAAACACCCCAACTAACAGTGTGACCTTTTTTAGCCTAATTATCTGTGTCATAGAAAATCTAAAATGACCATACAGCAGTTTAAATTTCGAGTTCTTTTAAATTACATTTTAGCTCCTTAAGTATTAAAACCTTTAAGATGACAGAGTCTAGAACAGGAAAAGAAAGTAAAATACTTTATTAATGGTCAGACGTAACAGTGAAAGAAGCATTAGGCAAATGTCACCCTATTGGTTCTTGACCCCATCTCATATAAACATGGGAGAAACAGCATCAAATATCAGTTGTTGGATTAAAAAAAAAAACCACTACCTCCAGAAAGAACCCAACTTTAAATGTCTTTCAGCTGGCTTCAGAACCATTTTCAGAAGATTATTTGAGTGTTGGGTAACAGTAGCTGATAGGGGTATGTAGTAAGAAAAAAAGTCAACAAAATAAGAACTAGGCACATTATCTTACCTTTTTGGTTAGTAAGTTCTTGGCCCAAGCAATGTTATGGGAATCCAGCATAATGTATAAAATATTCAGTAAATCTATAAATACAGTGTTGCCAGAGGCAAAGGAAGCAAAGCTACTACCATAATACGTCTACTAATGAGGATGGAACTGCTACAGTGCTGGCCCTTCTAAAGCAGTTAATCGGCTATCAGGCTTATCCTCCAAGATATGATGCCTGAAAAAGGACTCTTGACAGCTGGAGTAAGTGCAGGATAGAGAACAAGGCTGGGCAGGTAGCAGTAGCCAGGAAACCTGTGGAAGTGCAGGTTCAAAGACTCCACCTTTTCACCCTGCCACTTTATGTTCCCATGAAGCACTGGCTGGTCAAGGAAACTGACATCTATACTTTAGGTTATCTCGTGTACCTGCTTATTTAGAGCCTTTTTCTGATG